GGGGGGGGGGGGGGGTGTCTCACAAGAGCAGAGTGAAGGGGGAGAATCTCCTCCCTTGACCTGCTGGCCGCACTTCTCTTGATGCAGCCCAGGATGTGGTTGGCTTTCTGGGCTGTTAGTGCACATTGCTGGCTCATAGTCAGTTTTCCATTTGCTAATACCCCCAAGTCCTTCTCCTCAGGGCTGCTCTCAATCCACTCATCACCCAGCCTGTATTTGTGCTTGGGGTTGCCCTGACCCATGTGCAGCATCTTGCACTTGGCCTTGTTGAACTCCATGAGGTTTGCACAGGCCCTCCTCTCCAGCCTGTCCAGGTCCCTCTGGATGGCACATCCCTTCCCTCCAACGTGTTGACTGCACCACACAGCTTGGTGTTGTTGGCAACTTGCTGAGGGTGCACTCAGTCCCACTGTGTCACCAACAAAGATGTTAAACAGCAGGAAGGATCTGAATGAGCAGAGGTATGGATAAGCCTCTTCCCCTTCCTGTTTTAATCTCTGCATGCATGGGTGACAGTATTGTTATTGTCCTCCTCCTCAAAAAACAAAATAGGCCTTTCTGAGTCACATTTTTGCCATTGTGGTTACACAGAGATGTTTTATCTTTTTTTTTTTTTTTCTTTTTCCTCTTCTTTTTTTACTGTTACATTCCCACCCAATATCCCACACTCATCTGTACAGCAGTTCTGATGACATTTAGCAGTGTCACTGCTTCATCTTTATTCCTATTTAGTGGTATTGGCTGTGATGTCTAAAGAATACTGATCTTGTGTCTGACCACTGATGCAGTGATGTTCTTCCATGGCAGTGCCGGGGTGAAGCAGTGCTGTGAATTATCTCTCCATGTAAAGAAGAGTGGGCTGCTAGATGTCCTTATGATGCACATTAGCAAGGGGAAGCACCGACTTCCATCTACACTCAAGATTAGCAGCCATTTTTTTCTCCATTTTCTGCTGAGTTTAATTCCGTGCACTTCCTCATTTCTCATATTCAAAGTCACAGTACAAATTGGAAGTGAAGAGTTGGTTCAGAGTTTATTTTAAAAATACAAATGTAAGGGATTCATCACACCCCTGCTACCCACACTCTCCAGAAAAAGCAGGGCACAAGTTGCAACTCCTCCACTTTCAGAGTAGGTAATACAGGTAGCAGGAATACAGTGAGAACATCTTACACTGGTTTTGCTTTTGCAGAGAACCTCCCATTTTGGGAGGGAGAAGGAAGACCTGTTGCAAACTGAGCATTGTGCACCATAGCTATGCTGCTCAGTTATTCCCTGACAAACTGATAGACATGAGATACGTGGAAGTTACAAATTGGGCACCTGAGTGCCTTGTTGTTGCTACTGTTGAGCAGAACAGAGCTGTGTCTTGATGCCAGCTGTTACTGTTACAGGTTTGTCAACCAGCTGCATCACCTACCTTGTTGCTCATGTTTTTATTAGCTGTGAAATGGTAGCTGGGCTCATGTGAATAATCAAAAGGCTCTACCACTTCCCAGCTCATAGAACAGAGACCTTTTATTACTGAGGAAAGGAAACTGAGTTTATCATTTATTTTTTAATACAATTAAAGGAGGAACCCCAGGAAAAAATGTTATATACAAAATACCGTCGATAAGAGCAGCTCACCTGGTACAAAGGCCCAGATATTAAGCTGAAAAGGTCTCACAGAAACCATTTGTGTGCAATTCACTGAATACGACATAAGGCAATAGAAAACATGATTCATAGTAGAAGTGCCTAAGGAAAAAAAATAAACCAAATAACCTGCCCGTCAAGAATATAAAAACAAAACGATGCTAGACATACTTGTCAATGAAACTTTGTTTCCTTTAGAAGGAGTTACTTAAAGTGTCACAGGAGTTTGTGGTGATGTAGAAAGGTTTGGCACAGTGCAAAAGACAAACCCTTCTCTGTGCAATCATCAGTCAGAAGCAGAAGTACAGCATGAGATGGTCAGAGGGAAAACGTGCTGGTACAACTGTCAGAGCTGTGGTGTGGGTGGTAAGGTGGAAACGCATCGTGGCCATAGCAGGGAAGGAAGCACAATGTTGAAAATGAACAAAGTAAATACAAAAAAAGGGTGTTCATCCTGCAAAGAAGCTGCTAGTTTGTGCTGGAATGAACAAGCATAGACTGAAAGAAAAGGAAACTTGAAAAGTAGGAGACACCACTGCCCATACACAAAGTCCTGCAGTAAGCTCACACTGCCTTTTGGAAACGTTCCTTTATGTGTCCCCTGTGTTCTGCTTGCAACCAGAATGTACAAGTGGGTATTGTTTCATTATCACCCACTTCACCTCCTTTTCTCTGTCAAAAAACCCTCCATAAGAAAGTTCTGAAGTTCCCATTTCACTTCCTACAGTAGGAAAGCAGTAAAACTGAATGGGGCAGCATGATTCTGCAGGATTAGAAAGGGAGTAGTGTCTTATTTTTACTAGCAACTTGATCTTTTAACCTCTCATAGCTCAATCTTCTATAAACCGCTTTTAGTCCTTCTATTTCCTCCAGCAATTTCTCTCTCAACAAGTACCTGCTAGAAAAAAGTGAAAGGGATGGGATGGAATATTTCTTTGCTGTGTCCTAGCAAGGTAAGCAGCTCAAGCAACAAAACATCCCCCAAAGAGGATGGCATGGTGCTTCCAGTCTTCACTCTGCCCTGCTGACTGCACACATCGATAGAGCAGTAAGGGAATGGGTAGAGCTTGCAGTGGCATAGAGCAGAAGGGAAAACCAAAGCTGTCACACTCAGGGCAGCGTTGAGTTAGGTTAGTATGCAGAGTTGCTTAGGAAGCTTGTTGGGGCTTGGGGTGTTTTCCTCTTTTCCCCTCAAAATGAGAAACTGCTTTTTTTCCTACACAGTAGGCAAGAATTATCACCCAAATCACAGAATCATCTATGTTGGAAAAGACCTTGAAGATCACCTAGTCCAAACATTAACCTAACATTGACACTTCTCAACTACACCATATCCTCAGATGAGTCCTATCCAGTGTTGGCATCCTGTAGGGAACTTCCTTCAAGTCCTGGCTGGGTAGAGAGAATGCTGGCAGAAAGCAGCAGCAGTCAACGCAAAGTAAATCCCTGTGTCACTGTGAGAGAGTCCCAAGAACCTGGAGAGCCTACCCTAACAATTATTCCTAGGCAAATGTACAAACAAAAGCAGACCTATGTTTATGAAGAAAGGCCCTGAGTTACATTTCATTACAGTAGATACATGTGAGATAACCACTGAGTGTCACAGAAATTTAAAGGGGGCTTTACAACTGTGGGTAGGCAGGAATGCCAATAAAAGCCTGCACACGTGTGTGTGCGTGCACAAAGGTGTGCACATGCGTTCACTCACACACACCACCACCAGCGGGCTGCACTGTCAGGTGTGCTCCTGTGTCTGAGTAACGTACTAGAGGAGCTGTGTCTTGGTACCTGGGTTGACGAGGCCATCCTTTCAGGAGAGTAAGGTGACGAGAACTTCTGCCACCGCTGTAGAAGCAACATCAGTGAGCTGCTAGGTGTGCCATCAGTGTGTATCATTCCCTAAAAAGTCCCATAGCACTAAAAATAAGCATGAGGCATATAGTCCCACCTCTGGGTGATTTTTCATCAACAGTGCATGCATTATTGCCTCTTCGGGGGAGAAGGCACGGTCGAGTCCAAATCCAAAGTCTTCCAGCACAAAAACCAATACTGGCAGATAACCTGTGCGAGGCTGAATATAAAAGACATTTTAGCTGCTCCCAGTTGCATTGTGAAACCAGAACCTTGAGACTGGTGTCGGGGTCCGGGGTCTCCCAAAGGCCAGCTCTGTGTTACTAAAGGGGTAGGTGGGTGTGGGCTACCTGCTAAGGCTCTGCAGGCCCCCTCATTTTCTTAGAGTCAGCATCAAAGCTAGAGAATCCCAAACGCTTGAACTGGTGTGTCGATGCTGATGACACTCTTTTTCTGCCCTGTTTTCTGTTGTAGGAACATGGAGGGTTCTCCCAGTTGGAATTCCAGCAACCCCGTTGTAATGAGACCACCTCACAGTTTCTGTGGCATAGGTGGGGTTTTGTATTCATTCACACAAGATTATGTTGTCAGTCTTCTTGAGCAGTTTTCTACTGCTGTCATCCCCTTTCGGAGAGCCAAAGGGTCAACGCAGTAAGCATTGCTGTACAACAAACAGGGGGACTGCAGTGCGGAATACACAGGATAAGAAACCTGAGGGACACAAAGAAAAGATTTTACTGTTTTCCCTCCCTCTTCTTCATCCTAAATGAAAGCCAGAATGTTGCAGAGCCAAGACAATCGGGGATCACCTGCGATAGCCCTCCACAAGAGGGCTCCTATTACAGTAAAGCCAGAGCTGTTCAGAGCTACATTGCTCAGGACAGGCACTACAAGCGAGCTACAGAATGGCCCAGTGCTTACTGTGAAAAACTTTGGACTGTAGAGGTCCTATCCCTCTGCGAAGCTAGGGCAACTACTCTCCTATTTAAGCAGAGACAGGTCATGGCTCGGCACATCACACAGTTATGAGATGACAGCCACTACGGAAGCACAGCTTCCATCCCTGTCCACAGACACTGTTCCAGGCACTGGAGTTGGAGAACACTAGCCACTTACAGAAAAAGCCTGCCGAACTTTTATAACAAAAGAGTAATGTGGCAGAATGGATTTATTCAGTAGGTGCTCTCCCACCATTTCCATCACAAAACCCCCCAGAATTCATGCTAACCAAGTCTCTAGTATCTGTTCCAGATAGGGCCTTCCCCGGAGGAAAGCATGAGTAGGTGGTCAGGTTTGGAAATGAGATGGGTGGCCTGGATGATAGTTTTCCTTCCTTTCCATTTCAAAAATGTTAAGCTTTTAGATTACTGCAACGCACAGTGTGACAAATTCATGACTTCTAGAACTCTACGGCTGTTACTCTGTATCATTACTGTGGCAATTCAGCATGCTGTGGTGAGAGCAAGAAATGCAGTCACCTGAATAATGATGCGAATAAGACTCAGCTGCTAATCTGTCCTTAAATCTCTTGACTTGAAAAATGTCTTTTTGGAGGACACAGCCCTGAACACAGCTGAGTTTTTAAGCCAAAATGAATATAATGCTTTGTAGTCATAAAACCTTGGTAAGCTAGACTGTTTCCCAGCCCATCCTTCACAATACTTCATTATTGAATGTAACTCCTTTTAAAATACAAGTGTTTCCTGGGCAAGTCTTAGAGGGAAAACTTCCTTCTCCATTCCTCCAGCTGCTGAAGGGGTTGGAGATGTCTCGGAAGAGAACTGGCTTTGTTAATCTTACTGGGAAAGATGGAGTTGTTCTCTTATTATATACCTTTCCCTCACTACCATTCAGGCAATCCTTCATTTCTATCATCAGTGATGTTCCCATCCCAGATGAGGCACGTGACTGATGGGGCATCAGCCAGAAATAACCTCTAGGGGATGAAGCCACATGTGGGACCTGTAGTAGTGATGAGCTACCTACGAATGAGTGCAACAGGACAGGAACTAAGAGACTGCCCAGTTCTTAGTTGGGAGGCCCATGAAACGAGCACAAGGGCAGAGAAAGGGGATGTCACTGCAGATCCTGATAGATGGATGACCATGCTACAAACCCACCTCTCAGACATTAACCAGCTCCCTTACACAGGTTCAGAGGAGTCACTGACAAGTCAAAGTTGTCAAAACTTCCTTTTCTTTCACTTATATCATTCTTCATACCCATTTAGGCCCTAAAAATTTTGATAATCGAGGAAATGAATGCTACAAAATCTTGCATCCATGCAGGGCCCATTCTGTGGGAAAAGCAGCTTAGCAGCCCAGGAAATTTGGTCCTCTTAACATTATTCACTAGATTAATTTGTAGAAATTTGAAATAACCCAAACAAAGCAATGCCTCACAAGCAACATGAGCATCATTCCTCTAGTTACTGACTGGGAAACACCATGTGTCTGAGTTGGCAGTAGGGTCCTACTGCTTTTATTTTCCCTAAAGGACAGCACACACTCGTATTAAAAGCCATACATGGTTTTGTGAGCTAACATGGCACAAGAATCTAATAGTATTGGAGAAGCTATGGCAAGAGAAGAATGGTGAAGAAAACTACCTGCAGATGCAATCTGGTCATACAGATGATGTTTCAGGTGTCGCTTTAGAGGTCACAGGTGGCTTCATACATTCTTTCACACCCTCTTCCACTGAATCCTGAGGCTTACAACAGTGAGAACAGACTGAAAGAGAAGATCCCTTGTTAGTATTTGGAATACTGGAAGACATAAAAGTGCTGAAACCAAATGTCTTCTTCAAGAAAATAAAGTATAACTGAGAGTGGAAAAAAAGGAGAGAAGAAATTAAAGAAAAAAAAATCTTTAAGTTACTTCTAGTTTTCCTTGGAAGGACTTATCCCTGCAGTACATCTGAATATGGCTGGCACATAGCCATAGTCTCATCCAATAGAAAGCTCTGTAATGTATAAATGTTATCAGTATAGTGACATATGGATAAACCAGTTCTCATTAGCACAGGGCTAGGACCTCGGCCTGGCACAAATCCAGGTTGCTATGTGCTAAGATAAGGTCAAAAGGTAAATAATGGTACAAGTTACATGTCACTAAATGCTGGTTACCAAGCGAGTGAAAGATAGCCAGTGTTAGAACAGCCAGCCAACTCTTTCAGTGCTTTAAAAGGACTTCACATTAAACAGGTCCCCTTGGTATGTCAGCATCTATGAATGACTTTTGTTTTAATAATTCAGGCTGAATCTCTCTGTACTATTACAGCAGATCGTACTTGCACAAATTTTACAACATGGATTCTAAACTGGATTTTAAGTGACCTCTAATCTTGGTCTAATCTTTGTGCTTTGTGTTAAATTAATTGAAGAGCCAAAAAAAAAAAAAAATCTGAAGAGTTTCCATTCTTAAATTACTGCAAAGAGAGGTTGTGAGCTCCTCAAAGTAGGGGGTTGTGAACCTCAACAAAGCATCTACATGTTTTGGTCACCACCACAATCACGCATCTGAGAACTCTCATTTCCGTTTTGCTCTATCTTTCTATTCTTCCCTCCCACACTTCAGCTCTTTGAAGCATGGCTTTTTGAGTTCAGAAACAACTCCTAGCATCAAGGCAGCTCCCGACTCAGCTTTCCATATGCCAGAACAACAGAAGTACTCTCAGACCTATTCTGAGTTCCCACAATAGCTCTGGGAAGGTGACCTGTAGCAACACCATCAGGAAGGACTCTCAGGACAGATATTTCCTTCCCCAGACCAGTGTCAATGCACAGTGGCACCAAAATGTGACAACTATACAAACTGAGAATTTGGGTAGAAGCTCTAGCTTCAGTTTCTTGTAGTATATGCCTTGTCTCGGAAGTGGCTGTACAAAATAGCACCACCTGACTCAGCAGATCTACTCCCTGTGCATATTAGGAAAATGGGACGGAAAGGGAAATTCCAGTTTATGTAGCCATGTCCCATGCTGTTGCAGGTGATCACATTCTACCACACTGGTATGCTTTTTACATCTACTTTAAAAGCAATTTGGTTTCTATATAAAAGGTTATCTCAGAATGCTCCAGAATCTTACTAATTTAATGGTAAGGAACCTTTTAATTTCCAGCCTATATTTGTTTGGAGACAAATCTTTCAATTCCAGTTTATTTTCTCCTATAATTAGTTCATTATCCACACTGTTAACAGCACAGACTGTGATCAGCTGTGATTTTCTTGATTTCAACTTGCTTGCTGCTTTCCCATTGATATAGCCGCAGGGAAGAACCAGCACTGGTGTCGGGGGGGCACATGAGTGGAAAATGAGGAGGCGCACAAGTGTGGCCAAGAGTCACTGCCTTCCAGAACCTTCCTTTCTTTGTGATAAACCACCAAAAAGTAAATTAGCCCAGCCTGACTCAATGGTCACATTGGTTTTTGAAGGGATGTGGTTGGTGAGGAGGGGAAAAAAAATAGTAATGCTGCCTCCACACCTTTGACTCGGGAGTGAACTTGCCTGAAGTTGAAACAGAAGTAGCAGAAGACACAAGCATGACAAACTTACAAGTGTCCCTAAGTGAGTTGAGTTCCTGCTGCCTAGCAAATAACCTCCTTCCAGCGGGGGATACCACTGCAACCATGGTGAGCAGCCTGGTGGCTTCTGGTTCAAGTGGGCTGAACACAGAGTGTGCTCAGTGTGGGATTCTTGTCTCCAGACTTCCCCAGTGACCTGACAGGACTTGATTGGGTGATATTTTTAACTTGTTGCAAAGCCTGTCGTCTTTCTCCAGGACTGCTTTTCAAAGCTGCTCACAGAGTGTGGATAGGGCATCTACAGCTGTTGACTTTCAATACTGGCTAGTTGCCTAGCTGCCTTTATAAAAATCCATTAGATGTTTACTCACATCTTCAGGGGTTTTCTGGCTTAGGTCGGCTCAGGCATGATTAGGAGCAATAGTTAACAGATGAGATTTTTTTGAGCCACAAACATAACAGAAATCTGCTCAGCTGACAGCTAACCCTGAGATGCTCGAGGTCCCCTTCACTGCTGAAAAACTCCCTGGAGACTTGTCTGGAGTTACTGAAGACTTCATAGGGTGGGATGGGGCACCTCACCTGTGCCATTTTTGGCCACACAAAGACAAATCCATCTGTCCTGATTACAGTTGTCCTAAAAGGGGTACACTGCTACACTTAAGTTCTTCCTGTGGCCCTAGCACTATGTATTTTTGTAACATTGGCTCTGTGACTTTTCTGAGCGCTTCTCTAAGTAGTGTGTGTGAAACTCCAGTGCTCTGCTGTATCTATCATGATCACCAAGATTCTTGGCGTCTTCAAGCATCTTAATACATCAAAATGGACCTTTATGCATCTCTTCAATTCTGGATACTCATGATTTTGGAAATATTGTGATCTGCTGTCAAAAGTCCCCCTTAGCCCTTCACTCTCAAACCTGAACCCTAGTGCTGCCTGCACAAAATGTAGGAAAGTCCTGAGCTGGACTTAGATTTTGTGAAAGTAGATGCTAAAAAAAAAAAAAAAAAAAAAAAAGGAAATGAGAAGGTGGTACAAAAATACCTAGTGTGTCAGTATAGTTTCTATAAATGTGTATTTTACATAGCAACTCCATAAGCAGTAAAAGACTGTTTCTTGAAAAAGGAGCTACACTTACCATGCCTTGGGAGGTATCTTGCTGCTAGGGTGATAGCCAGAAGGAAGGTGATAATGATGATACTTGAAGCAGTGACGACATTATAAGATGGAGGCACAGTAGGGACAATGCAGCCATTTGTTTTGTCTGAGACAGAAGAAATAAAACGTAAACAAAGGGCCCAACAGCATACTGGCATTTTCATGTAAGAGCAGATCCGTGAATTTTGGTGGTTCTGGCCAAATTCTAACTCAGATATTCAGCTTGAAAATTTACCTATTCAATAAACAGACAAAGCTAGCACATTCCATTCCCCCACATTTGCTATGTGCTAAAATTTTTAACAGGTCCACAGAATCTGAAATGCTGGGTCTTTTCCAGAACAGGACCAAGACTGGCAATATTTTAAAATACATAAGCTGTTTTTAAAGTAACTGGTTAGGCTTGGTGGAAAAGTCTAAGTCTGTATCTAGAAAACTTCCATTCTTAGAGGTACTCTGCAATTTTTGTTAATGTTTTCACCATTCACCAGATGTATGCCTAATTTTTTTTTCCCTCTGAATTCACAGGTAATGGAGAATGATGTGTTAAACACACTAGAATAGGCTTCTTTATTCATGGCAGGAAAAGAATGTTGTGGCAGAGTTCAGTTTCAGTGGATCTGGAGCCTTTGGCTTTTCACCACAGGAGATAACCATTCTGCCATTGAGACTTTAGGGTAGATAATGGGCTGTTCTTGTACAGGACAACCTTAATTCAACAGGAGGGACAGATTTGGTGCATATTCTGGATCTTCAGATTTTCGTTATCTCCATCTGGCACAATTAACCATCATTCTGCTGGTAAGGCACTAGCCTGGTCCACTGTACAATCCTCCCCTCCACTGTAGGGTCTGCCTCTTACATTTACCAGAGGCTGTATTCTATGTGGAACTCCATGTTCATGACAGACTTGTTTGAAGGACCATTTCTATCATACCAAAATGGGAGTGGTTCCACATGTTAAAAGTCAAAGTGTGGGGTTTGTGACTGCTGTTGGCACTGTTGATTGCACCTTCCTCTGAGAATCTGTGTGACAACAGTGTTTTACTATTACTATTTTTTGTTGTTGTTGCTCTCCTTTTCTATGTAGTATGATATTCACAACCTTCTTCCATTACCATCTCTAGGGACTACACACTACCTCCAACAATAACCAATATTCATAAAGCACTAGCTTCTGGTGTTTGTCCTGAAGCTGAATGGCACCTCTCCTCATGAGCCCCTTCGATTTTAATGAGATTGATGAATAAGGTACCTTGATGAATAAGATACAATTGCCTAGGAAAAATAGTGCTTCTCTTGAAGGTGCTCTTATCTCTACAGTGAAAACATCAGACCCAGAGACATTTCAGAATACTTTTTTGGTAACAGCATTAAAAAAACCCTTTTGGCTCTAAGAATTTTCTTGCAAATCCCCTTCTACTGCAAAACATCTGGACTGCAGTTTGCTGCCTTCCCTCATGCTGTTTCCACTTGTGCCTCAAGCTTTTCAAAGCACAGACTTATCTATTATGTTATCACTTTTAAGCCACGCACAGTGATGGAATTTTTTCCATATGAGTTAACCCTGTATTAAATATGTGTATGAAAGCAGAATTTTGTCTAGACCCCAGCTGACAGTTTCTGTCACTGAAGCAGGAACAAACATGCTTGTTAAATGAAGAAATTCTTTTTAAATGCAACCTGTGGCTTTTAAGGCACACACATTTTTCAAGTCCCTCCAGTTGAAAACCAGGTCTGTGTCACACAACTGGCAGCATGACAGTGCTGGTGCAGAGGGGCACTGCATGGTGGCAACCCCAGCCCGTGGGAGCCACGAGGCTGACATCACCAGATCTCAACAGGGTCCAGAAGCCCTCTCAGCCCAGCTGTGACTCATGGGTAGAGCACCTGAAAGACAGAACCGTCTCTGCTTGTCAGTCACCGTCCTAACTCTCCTCTCCCACCCCCGCTGTCTTACAGCCTTTGAAAAATTTTGGTGTGCAGCTCACAGGTGAGATCATTGGGTCATCCTTGCATGAACAGATACACAAAATGTACCGCTTTCTCAGAGGCAACTCAGCAGATTCAACAAAATGGTTTTATAACACAAACTATTAATAAAACTTACTTAGAAGCAAACTGGTGGACTTGACAAAGCCATTGTATTCAACGGAGCAAGTGAAGCTGACGTCTTTGGTCACATTGAGCCACAGTTTGCCAGTGACGTTGTACAGGCTGAGGCTGGACTTGGACACCCAGGTGCCATTCCACACCACGGACTCGTTGTTGAGGGTTCCAGAGATTTTGGGTTTGGGGAAACCTCCATGAGAAGAACATCTTACCACCATCTCAGCTGATTCACAAGAAGTAGCGGATACTTCTGCTGTTATGTTCGGCTTGCTGAAGTCAGCTGAAGCAAGAAAGATGTAGTTACCGTTCTGTCAGATTACACCAAGGGCTGCAGTCCTGATCACCCATGCTGAAAGCAGACTCCCCCACAGATCATTTTTCCTCTATCAAAAATCTGTTTTGCCTCTCTTGTGCCTTAGCATTCTCCCCACAGCCTTGACTGGATATGGCCTTGGCCTTTGCTTCTTCTCCCTGGACAGTACACAGACTTCATGACCCCACCTCCCCAATGCCACCATTTCTCTCTACACGCAGCAGTTTGTGGAACAACAGAAAAAAATCATAAGACAGGTGGGAAAAATATGGGGACTGAATAGAAATCTGTATTACAGGCAATGATAGACAATTTCCTCTTCCCTCCCTCATTAGTCCCTTCTCATCCAGAAGGTCACAGAGAGTCCATCTGTGTTGGGAAAGGAGGCGAGTCACGTGTTGGTCTCTCAGCTGGGATGGCCAGCAAGAGACTGAATTACATTTTCTGTATGACAGCCCCTCCAGAAGGCCTGGCTGAGAGCAAGACCAAGTCATACTAGCAGTCATTGCAAAAAATGTGTAGCAATACACAGGCCCTGTCAGAAGGAGAAGAAAGGTGGTGTCCTTTTCAGCTTGCTTCCCTTTGCCAATCTGGTTGGTGTTACTGTAAACAGTTGGATTGGTACAACTGAGGATGCCCACAGGTTGCAATAAACAGCCCAGGGTGAGGAGGAGGAGGCAAGGGGTGGCAAATGAACTATTTAAGGCAACTTTCCCACTGGAAAAATCTCGTCTTTAGCAAGAGAGTCACCAGTCAGAAACGGAAACTCAGTGTGTGGCTTCCTGGTGGGTGCAAGTCACACCAACACCACGGCTGCCAAAGGAACCAAACTCTCCCTCTCACCCCTGCCAGCTGTATGTGCATGGCCTGCACACCCCCTCAGGCACTAGCCCCAGCCATGGCAAGGCCAGGCAGAGACCTACAGCAAGCTGTTCACCTCACTGCAAAATGACCCTTTTTGGAGCAGGTAAGGTTTTGTCTCTGATTGGCTGTCTCACCATTTGACCACATGACTGTGGCGATCTGCACAAGGCAGACGACCTTGAGGCTGTAGCATGTCTCCCACAGCTTCTGCTGACCATGAACCCATGGTCTAGGCTACCAAGTAACTAGTAACTAGTGAAGGAAACTTGCTCAACATCATACGGCTGACCAGTGGCAAACAAGGAGACACCCGGATTTCCTTCCAGGCCTACTGTTTATTGAGCAGTACAGCATTACAGACATCCAGTCTGGAAAAGTCCGCTTTACGGAGGCTCCCTGATTGGTCACCAGGGAGTAACACCTTTCTACCTCTCTCAAGTTAGCTTGATTCCAGCAGGGGTGAGAGAACATTTCCCTTACCTGATCACCAGAAAAACTGATCCCACTTTACCAAAGGGAGCAGAAGTCTACCACAATTATTACCACAACTGGCCTGTTAAGATAGCAAGGAGATTTCTGGGAGGAAAGAAACTGGAGTATTTGCAGGGAGGAAAAGAGATCTGTTGTTTCACATTTTTCATGTTGCTAACTCCTCAGCCCTCACAGTTAGAGAGGGTGCTGGCAGTGCACTTCTCTTTTTTCATATCAGTTCCCAGAAAGATCACTAAATTTGTCTCCTTGTATATATGCCACCATGCCCTCAGACATGCAGGCAACAGCCAAACCTCAGGAGCTTGGTTCTTCTTGCTGATGAATCTCATTCCAGATGGGGAAGGCTCATTCACTGACTAGTCTGCAAGATTCCTGGAACTCTCTGCTGCTAAAGGTATTCAAATGCATGTATATATTTATATATGTTACCAGTATCTCTGCATTTGGTTGAAACCAACTGCAACAAAAACAGTGGTGGAAATGGAAAATAATGTCAACGGAACTTTTTGTAGCCTCCAAGAAAAGATTCAGATTCATTCTGAGCAAAACAACTTCGGTTATTTCTTTAAGATAAAAAGCCTTAAATCTCCAGATGGGTTCAGCCTTCAGTTGTGGAGCTGCAGTGCAGCTGGCGCTCTGGAAGCAGGGCTGGGATGTTGCTGTGGCCACAGAGAAGCAATGCCACCGCATTCCTCTTTTGGTTTGGATGCTTCCCATGTACCGAGGGCTTGGGCTCTGCTTTGCCCAAAAGACAGCAAGGGGCAGCGGTGGCCTAGGGCACCCACCAGCAGTGGTACCTGGGGAGGTGTCCTGGGAGGGGTCCTTTCCCAAGAGGGAGGCATCCAGGGGAGAGTGTTGGGCTGGTGGTGGGAAAGGCAGATTTTCTGTACCTGGGGTAGCTTTGGAAAGTTAAGGAGGGAGGCTGCTAGCATGGTAATAGCTAACACACCTTCTGGCACTCTTTTAGGCTTCCTGATGAAAGTCCATTTGCTACACTATGACTAAAGCTTGGAGGAGTGTTCTTTACCCCCAGAGGGTGGCACCAGAAAGCCTCAGGTGTCGGGAGGCAATCCACCTACCTGTGACAAAGAGGGTGACAGTTTCCTCACACAAAACAAATGGGTTCTGGGGAGATCTGAGGTTCTGAACTATACACTGGTAAGAGCCATTGTCCAGGATTTCCACGGGGGAGATCCACAGGGTGAGGTTCCTGGGGTTCATCTCTGTCCGGTTGTCATATCGCTCATGGTTGGAGATCTTCTCCCCCTTTGCATAGGCAAGCACTACCTTCGTAGTGTTCTTCTGCCAGTAGACCCGGTAATCATATAGGCTTTCTGAGCTGGGAATTTCATAACAACAAGGCAGGCCGACTTTTTCCCCCACTTTGCTTTTGACTACTTTCTTCTCCAGTGCATAGCCTGTAGGTGGGGGGCAAACAAAAGTCAGTGAGACAGTGGTATAACCTTGTGCCAGGACCTGCTGCATAAAGCTCACCTCTTTCAGCTCTGTCCGCAGCCACTAATGTACCTTATCACCCACTGAGCTGTTTACAGCTCTGCATTGAGGGGAGGCCTCCCTTAGCATTGCCTTTTACGTGATACTCCAGTCCTATTTAGGGTCCCGAGCTAGCAGGCACACAAGGATTTCTGTATGGATTACTGAAGGCAAAAACAGGAGAGTTATCAGCCTGGACAGAAACACACCTCACATCTCAGGGTAAAGAACTGCTGTTATTTATGTAAAGGGATAAAAACATGCATGCCCAAACTGCTCTCTCCCTTTTCAGATCTCAGTGTTTGGAAAGTCTGTGTCACCTTCCAGTGAGTTCCCTGCGTGACAAACAGGCCCACAGTGGACTATTAGTTTGGGGGTTTGGGGTTTTTTTTGGAAGGATTTTTTTTTTTTAAAGTAAAAACCCCAAAACTCTCAAGATCCCAGAAGCTAGAAGCGATCTTATAATGATAAACAAAGATTACAGCCATATTGTCATCAGCCTCCTGGTATTAGCAAATGAACAATTTAGCCTAGTCTGGCTAAAACTAATTTGTATTTGCAAAGACCCACGGGCCTCCCTTGGGGCTGCTTGCAAACCAGCACAGGCATTCTCCAACTCCTGCCCAGCTACTGTGTCGGTGCCATACCTTAGCATGCAGGCACATGCCTACAATAACAAGCTGAGACCCTTGCAGAGGGAAATTAGGTACAACTTTGACCATGTTAGCTGTAGTCCCCCTGCTTCACACTACGACTTTTATGCACTCTGCTCCCATGATCAGCCTTGCTTTCCCACTCTCCTTCCTCTTTCTGTAGGTGAGCACTTGCAGGCGCCAGACCTGACATGAGAGGGAGCAGCCTAGCAAGGAGCTCCTGCTGTTGCTGGAAGAGTGACCCAGTACTGATGTGCTGTCCTGTGCTGCACCAAGGCCAGGGCAGATGGCTGGGCTTTCACCTGACTTTATGCAGCCTTCAGGGTGATGTTTATCCCTGCGCACCCTGCTTTGTTAGTCCAGAAGGTCAAGTTGTTTTACGTTTGCCCTGCTTGCCTTGGTCTCATGACCTTAGCACCCATCTCCATTAGTGGAAGGGGGATACCAATCTGTTGCACTCCATTGACTGAGAGCAGAAAAAAACAAGGAAATAGCCAGCCTCAGGACAGAGAAGGTTCAAATTCCTTCATCCTTCCCTGCAGAACAGATCTCAGTAAACACGTCCGAGAGAGAAAGCAGGGAAGTCCTGACCAGGCAGTGTGTCACTGATGGGGAGAATGAAGCATCACCTGTTGGTGGAGGTGAGACCCCATGTGCAAAGGCTTTGCCTGAAGTGTGAACTGAATGCTTAACAAAGCTGAGCCTAAGAACTGCCACCTAAAAACTGCTCAGAAAGGTCTGGCTGGTGCTGGCTCACGTGTTATTGTCACAGCTAATGCCAGACCACAGACATGCGCATGGAGTGCAGCACTCGGGGTGTGACTGGGATGCTGTGACATTCAGATTTGCTAAAGTGTCCAAAACAGCCACAAGTTGTTGCCTTCAAGGGCTCATTTGCTTAGCAGTGACTCACAGAAGACCCTTGGGATGCCACCACACAGCTGGTAGCAAGACCCCTGCAGCATGCTGACCTGCGCCCAGTGGCACACACTGAGAGCGTGTTTCGCACTCCTCCAGCTGCTGGCACACACCCCTCCCCTGTGCACACCTACCCCTGTCCCACTTGCACACTTTATATTAAATCTCCAGGAAACACACTGAAAAATACTGAGGAGGTCCTTGCAACACTTTGGAATTTCTTAATACTAATTAAATGAAGCAGAATACATAATTAAATGAGCAACTGCTCATTTAACCAGTTTCTCTTCACTCAGCCACTTCATTGGTCTTCCAAACGGAAAGATTTAAACTCAGTTTTCATCCCGCACTACCTGTACTTCCCCTTATAATGCATCGCAGACTCTGAGCAACCGGACTGGGGCAGACCTGACTGAGCCCACTCAGCCCACTGACCTGTGTCAGCCAGCAACTGGTAGCAAAATAGTAGAAAAACTAGTTCTTCCACAACACACAGGATAAGAACTGCCATACCCTGCCAACCTTTGACAACCAGGAATTTAGGGATTTCTTGACATCAGCTGTTTAATCACTACTGCTAGACCCCTCCTTCAGGAGGAGTTCTTGCCCCTTCAGGAACTCGTGTATATTTTGGTTTCCACAGCATCCTGTGACGATGAGTTGCATAGTTTTGATTACATGCTGTGTGAAAAAGCATTTCCTTCTGTTCACCTTAAAAACAGCCCACTTAAGGCTGTGATTCTTGAAGCTCCTCCTTCTGCATGTCTGCAGCATTTGTGTGTGTGTGGTTTTTCCCTCGACCACATCTTTTCTGTTCTCACAGTTCAGCTCTTACTATGGCTGGAGAGACTCACAAGAGCAGCCAGTCAAACTCCGGGATTGTGGAGCCTGATAAACACAATTTTCTATTTTCTTTTGCAGCAATAGGGGAAGAGTAGGCGTACAGTAAATGTCAGGGTGACATCACATCATGAGTTGCCTGAGGTTCTCTACGCCTTGCCCCTAGGAGTCTCCTTTGCAACCAAAAGGAGAACAAAAACCTTCTCGGCGGTACATGTGCAGGGGCTGGAAACTCCTGCTGATGTCACACGTACCCTTAAAAGGCTCTGCACCCTTGAAACTGCAACCTGAATGCTGCAAGCCTGAAGGAACCAAAGTCCATGAAGAGTCATTCAGCCCCACAAAAGTCCCCTTTCACTTTAAAGGTGAATTGCAAAGCAAAAATGAAAATTCAGTTCTGTTCCATCCCATTTCTGTGCTGAATGCTCTCTGTAACCAGGCTGTGGGGGAGGTATCCACTGTGGAAATAATTTTTAATGACTTCTCTAGAAAAAAGATCTGTCCTCTTCCCAGTCCTCTGAAACCCACCTGCTCCCTTGATGTGCATGCACATCGCTCTGTCACTGGAGGCCTGTGGCAGCACTGAACTGATGAAGGGGCTGACTTTCTGTTCCCTGGGCAGAAAAACATGTTTCATTCAAACTACACCTGTGCTACAGATGCCCCATACAGCAGGCCTAATTAGAACAGAAAAGTGAGTGCATAGGAAAACCGTCCTTTCTTGTTTGCTCTGAGAGTCAGCAAGTGGGAGAGCTGTTGAGCCCATATCCCTATTTCCTTCACTCTTTGCCCAAGGTGTGTTTCAGAAATTCCCTGGCCACAGAGAGCTTGGTTATCCTGATTACACATACAGTCAGGTGGTATGGAAGAGCAGATTGCCTCTGGGACAGAAGTCCTGCAGACACATTTGACTGAAAAAGGCAGTAAAAGACCATGCAACATTCTAGAGATGCAGCATTGAACTGTTGGAAACCTTCAGATAATTCCTGGTGAACAGAAACCCCAAAGCCATTCTCTTTGCCCTTTGTTTCCCATTTCTCTGCCCTTTTAAACTGCTCTCCCTTTTTTTGGTCTTACCTTGTGTTACCTCACTTTACAGATGACCCACAAAGCAAGGCACATGATGGGAAAGGTCATTCTTGGTGGGCCTGGAGTCCTTTGCTCCTGTGTAAGCATCAGGTAAGACAGTAGATCTGCATTTTTCGACCAAAAGTCCTGCCAAAAGCTCTGAGGCAAACTGTCGGTGACCCTCCAAAACTGGGAGGATCAAACCAGTCTTGTGTTGCTTTTTTTCTGTAAGGTTCCCTATTTATTGCTGCAACAGCAGTTGGTCTCTCTACTATTAAATTATTGGCGTCGTTGACTTTGCCTAGGACCATGCACATGGGACTCCTGCTCTGATGGGGTGCCAACATCTTTCTTGCCCTCTGCCTGTTGTGTGGCTGGAAAAAGGGACTTGGGGCAGCCCTGGGAGGAGGTACACATCCTATCTGGTGAGGCAAGGGCACTTCTGGTAATGGGCTGGGCCAGCTGAGGAAAACACGTCTCGTGGAGCTGTGACTTTCTCCTGGGAGCCATCCCCTGGGGTCAGCACGGGAATCACACCCAACAGTCCCCGGGTAATTCTGCAGTTCAGGTCCCTCATTTTCCGTGAATAGCACATTCACCCCAAACTTGCAGGGTTTATCCTTTGAGGATTACACAGTATTTTATGGGGTTTTCTGATCAAGATAGATAATTAGTTGAAAAATTGAGAAATTTTGAGAAGCTGAATCTTTAAAGGGCTAGATGCTTCCTCTTGGTCTCTTCTTTTTCCCAAGTGACTTTACCAATGAGGAATCGGATTCTCCCAAAGCTTTCCATGGAATTAAAAGTCCGTAAACACCCTGTGCTACACTGGAATACGTGAAGGAATGCTTTGTATTTAAACCAGTGTTATGATAGACTCATGTGAATGCACTGATCACAGACAAGACCCTATTAGATGCACAGATGACTTCTATGTAGAGACATTGTGAGGTTTCGGCAGCACACAAAAACACTGCCTTCCTCTGTGTTTTGCTATAAAGACCCCGTGCATTGAGAAAGATGGATAGATGGGATGAAACAGAGAAAAGTGGGTGCTGGCAGGCCCTGCTGGCCATCCTCTTTAAGGAGTCTGTGACTGCATATTAACCCAGGCACAAATGTCTGGCAAATCTCCTAGGCTCTTTCTAGGCAGACTCCACTTCAGCAGGTAGAGGCATGCAAAGGGAGGTTTCAGCACACAGAGGAAGGAGGAGCAGCCCTTTCCTTGCACAACCCCAAGCCCAATGTTCCGGTCATGAACCACAGGCCTGCTGCTACCCTTCAGCTGCTCTAGGCTGCTCTGGCAAAGCAAAGCAGCTGCAAACCCAGTTCACTTCGCTCATGCCACAGTGACTTCATGTGAGGTCATGTTCCCTTACTCACCCCAAATGTGGTGAGAGAGAGGAGCAGAAGAAAAGGCAACCCGAAGGAAAGCAACAACGCAC